TGGATATGGCGGTAGTGACGGGAAAGATTGGGACGTTGGACATCATTGCGATCGTCTGCGGGTCTCTCCTCCTGGTCGTCCCTGGTCTTGGTCTCGTTTTTGAAGCCGTCTGTGGACCCAAGGAAGACAAGGGGAAGACCAACAAAATAAGACTGCGCCCATGGATGGGAACGAGAATCTCGGTTTCCAAGGAGATGGGGACGAGACTGCGCGGAACCGTTCTGTTGAAGACGGCATACCCTTGCAACAAAGGTGAGGGGAAAAAATCAAGAATCTTTGGTTTGTTTAAAGTTTAAAGTTAAATTTTTGATCCAACACGAAGAAGTTCTCTTTGCTAGAGCTTTCGACCAGTCAGTCTGGTCTTCCTCAGTACACTGACCCAGTGAGGCTTGTCACGTGGCTTCTTTGAAGTGTGATGTCAACACTGGGTCAAAGGTCTTTAATGTATGATATACTTTTTGCGCGTCATTCACAAACCAGGCTCATTTCTGTAAGTACAAAACTACATGTAGATAAATCTCTATGGTTGGATAAGGGAGTCAAGTGTTTTTACTTCTATATTGTTTACAGAGAGGAGAACCCTGCAACGTCATTCTAACGCCTGGTCAACCTATGGCCAGCAAGAACAGTGGCGGGAACAATAGCATCTATAGTATATATGTGTAAGATAATTGAAAGTATTGAGAGATGATCATGTAAAGTCATGACGTCTAAACCTAACTCATCTTGAAGTAGCGTCAATTTCGCTCAACCTCGCTATCTGAGAACTTAACGTTCATTCGTCAAAGATATGTTTTGTGACATAACGACATGTTGTACAAGAATAAGTATTGATAGGTCAATGTACAAAAGTTAAAGTTTATGTTTATGTCACATCCATTGTACATAAAGAAAACATCGATTTGTACAAGTTACAACGTACTACTAGTACCTACAGAAATATATTCTCAAGATATCATACTACGTATCCACATGGTGTGCTAGACTTGTAAATACGCTTGCAAATATAACTACATATGTACATATAAGTATAGTAAATTTTCACTGTACCTTTTGAACTTGTCACAAAAATGTTGCGTAAAAGTACTAAATGATGTGCCTTGAATATTTGCAGTCTTTTCATACGTAATAAAATTTAAAGACTCTGTGTGTTTTTCACTCAATATTGTGGTATGTAAACCTCGTACAGACCTAGCAAACTAATAACAATAAGTAAACGTTTTGTTTCGTAATATTCCTGGTCAAGGATTATAGCATATTATATAATAGTTTTGGAGTTTCGTGCTACAAACCTAGCTCTTATGACTATACACTACTCTTCAACAGTATACACGCTCGTAAGTGTGTCCGTGCTACCAACAGTTTGTACTGTGGGCTCTTCCCTGATCTGTGCCTGTGATTCTGACAGAAAACGCGCCTTCTTGGCCTCTTTCTTCCTCCTTTTCATGGACAGGACCGTCACCACACACAGGGTGAGAAAGATGAAAAGGCCGCACAGTATGGCAGCGACATCTAGCGGTCCAACACCGCCCGCCATGTCAGTGGTAGATGGTGTCGATGGCGTTGGCATTGGCAACGGTGTCGTCTGTAGTCCAACTGTGGCGTTTGATGTCTGTCAAATATTAATAAGAGACCAATATGGTAAGAAAAAAAGGATACATACAGCACTTATCAAATAGATGAACTTTTTGGAAAACAAACGAAAATTCATGTCATCCATATAATCAAATCAGCATGGCCTGCAGTTTCAAAAACCCACTGACAGAGCCGAAAGGTGAAATATCATCTCTTCCACAACGCATGTTCTCTGTACGATTTCCCACACATACTTACCGCGTGTGAACATGTGTTTGAACTGCGGTCAATGGTGAAGAATTGCATTAGGGTGACCTTTGTTAAAGTGACCTTGAGCCTTCCACTTCTAGCTACTCTAAAAGCGGAGGTTTAGTAAGCTTCTTCGGCTTATTTTGTTCTATAATGAGCTAACGTAAACAATAGCCTGGGTTGTTACATTCCAATAACACTCCTGGCTAATCAAATCATTGGTTTACAGCAACTGCAAGGTTCTAGTTACATGTAGAAGTCCTGATGGTGGAAAGAAGATGCCAGTGTACTCTTGTTTTAAATGACTGGAGGTTGTTGTTTTAGGCATTTCTATCGAGCTTTCTTTTTTGGAATGATATCGTTTCTTATGCCATGGAAACGAGTGGCAAATGGATACTATCCTGTAAATTTGACTTGGTCTTGTAGCCACCAAAAGATCTGCTTGGAAATTAAATTACTCTAGAGCTTCATAAATGCGAAAGTTTAGAAAGAAGACGCACAACCTCTCGTGCACGACAATATGTAGTGCCATGTTACATATGATGAATTTCGGAAACTAAACATTTCATAACTGGAATAATAGATAGGAAGGTCAAAAATTTTGTCAATTATGAACATGGAATATTCAAGTGTCCAAGGAGTGGACTAAAAAGTCGTGTAGTACATACCAGTGTTGTATTTGATGTCATGTTCATACTGACGCTTGCTTCCGGATGTATACAAGAGGTGTACTGTTTGAAGGACGACTATGTCACTCAAAATAACACACCTGCAAAGAACGATGTATAAATCTCACATATAAGCGCTATTCGAATAATTCAGACCTACTTTTTTTAATTCCAACATTTTATTACAAGACATGGTGACGGCACACTCAAGTTTTTAAACTTATTTTTGTGCCGCCACTAACGCAGACAAACACATGAACGGACAACAGACATACTCATTTTCACCTGAGTAAAAGCAAGGAAATTCGTGTTAAGTGCCTTTGCCCGGGCACAAGATCGGTGGCATGGCAGGATTCGAACTCGGGACCGCTTGGTTCCGAGCCGAATGCCCTGTCGCTACGTACTTGTCAATGGTTCTGTTATATGTGGAAAAGTACATTGCAATATCAGTATTGTAGTTTGTGGATATTTTGTCACCTCTACTAGATCATAGTCTTAGCCTCCACCAGTCTACCTAGGTTGCTAAAATAGTACTAGTAGGTAACAAACTGTACCCTCTAGCCGGTTAATTCCTATGCATACTATTCAGTGTATTTAGCCAATTATTTTTGGCAAATTGGAAAGCCTAGTAGAGGCTACTAGCTTCTAGGTGTAGGTCTGATACAACTCTATACGTAACCTCCGTCCCTGTACTGAACTATACAATTATAGGCGGCACTGAAAAGAGCATCAACAAAATGTCAAGCGATAAATTATATTGTCAACCTCACCTTTGAGTAGTGATCCCTCATGTATAGTGGAGGCTTCTGAAAAAGAACCGGCGATATCCGGTACAATTATGTTACGATAATGTCAACGGATAATCAGTGAAGCGAGTTTGATAATCCGTTTAAACGATATTTTGACGGTTAGAGTAGTTTTTAAGATCAGTGTGTTTTTGAAGGTCAACATAACATGGGCGTGTCTGTTTTCAAACGCAGAATGACGTTCGGTTATACAATCCAACATATAAAGGGGTGGCACTGAGTGCCAGAAATCTAATAATTTCTTGCAGTACACTAGTATCATATCAATTTGCCAAATAAATGAACTCAGAAGCGAAAAAAGGCAATGTGAAAGTAAACTATTAGAATAGAAGGGTGTTATAAAACTGGGCAGTCTTAACCCCTACACGGGCTTTAATGGTATAGCTCTGGATATCCTGTTTACGATACAATTTCGCAATCCTTTGAGCCAAGGACCCCAAACAAAAATGACATGATTTCGTGTTTTTATTAAACAACATATCCGCTTATGAAAATAACAAAGCGCATCTGAAGTCAAATGAAAAATATGACACTTTTGTTGTGACCTAAACATTAGAAAGAGATTTTTAAAAGGCATTCTATGGGTTTAAATAGCCTCCGCGTATACAATCGTCACACACATATTTGAAAGGCATCCCATGCAAAAATTTCAGGGATGCAAAAGAAAATATTCTGGACGAGGAAATCTGTCTAACATTACTGCCAACTATTACAACATCCATTTGTCACTGAAACAACTAGACTATGTGGAAAATAAAAGTTTTCAATCCAATCATTGTACAAATGGTTTTGATTCACATATACACTGCCAACAGACATCTTGACCCATTTTCGGCATGTTGACCACTAGTCAGAGGGCAACAAAATTTCTTGTGTTTTTTTTTTTCAAAATCAGGCGAAAATTAATGCGCGATGATGTTATCCATAAAAATGACTTGCTGTGGCCTTATGTTATTATAAGAGGCGTAACCACATTGCGTGAGAACGTGATGGATTGATATAAAGGGGGTACATGACAGATAAAAGGACAAGCTATGAATATTTCATGACCCAAAATTCTTGTGATAACAATTGGTCTGTTGACATATAAACTTTGGCTCTAAAGAGGGACATACCATATAAGGAAATGACCACGCGATAGCTATCTGTAGATATCTACGTATACGTCACTTCCACAAAGATTATACGGAACAGCGATCACCATTTCAACATTTTGTATCAGTTACCATTACAACATTTTGTATCAGTTACCATTACAACATTTTGTAACAGTCACCATTTCAACATTTTGTGAAACATCGGTGGCCAGTTTGGCAATTTTAAAGGTATCCAAAATTGATTTCATGGCAGTAAAACTGCATTTTCTGGTCCTTTTTAACTGCAGAAAATAGAATCAATCCCATATTAATAAAGCAATCGATACGATATCACTGACGGAAAACGCGTATACCAATGCTTGTTTGGTATCGTAGCAGGCTGGTTAAAGCGTCCATAAATTGCATTGGGTGCCTTTAATATCATACTTGCGTCACCGCGGCGTTCGAATAAATGTGTGATATCAATGCATTTTGGCATTCTGAAATGGACATACACGGTATATACGAGTATCCAAAAACGACTCAATTTCTGGTTATATTTATAATAGACTTGAGCCTTAATATTGGACGGACTGTAGCTGTACATGACTTGAAAAAGAAAATATTGTAGCTTTATTAATGCTGACATGATTGGATAGTTTTAAGGTTTAAATGGTACTGGGGCAGACAATATGTTCATGTTGAAATAATAAAGTCAAAATAGTTTTTTGTGTAATGAAGAGGGGGGGGGGGTAAAATCCAAATCCCTGCCTTTACTACAAATTCGTCGTACTTACCAAAAGACGTTGACGTACTACATGTATATAGGCCAACCAAACGTTTGAATTCTTCCACCAACATTCCACTAAAGCCCTATACACTTGTTCGTCGTGTTAGCATTTACTACATGAAAACGTTAGCATTTACTACATGAAAGCGCTTACCTTACTTGCGTAGATGTTTGTCCTGATTCTTTGTCCAAAAGTCGTAATTCCCGACTCCCAACACGACTATGCGCAGACCACAGTTCGTGAGTCGTGTCTAGTACATGTACCTGACATGACACTGTCTACCGGTACTGCAGCCTTTTGTTTACCTACACAGGAAGCCTTGAACCGGAAGCGGACGCCGTCTACCCTGACATTCCATCAGGTACTACCCTCACCACACACCTCTTTTACGTCACTTCCTTTTAACATTTCTCAGGTAAAAGAAGAAGGTAAAAGAAACATGTCCTCGCTTTCAGAATTTTTTTTCCGCGTTGAAGATATTTTCTACGTGTTTCCTGGTTCAGAATGCTTGAAAAGGGAAGTCTGGCCTTTTTGACATTCCAGTGGCTTCCGCTAGGGGGCTCTGGTACTGCTGCACTGTTATCCTGTAACATTGCATAATACAGTTCTGTATAATAGAAACCGACTCCGTAAGAAAACGGCGTGTGCACCAAAGGACCTGGGCAGGTGGACACTGCCCACAGCGCCGTAGAGATACCGGGAAGCCTACGATGGCCTCACGATAATGTCGCGAATCCCGATATCATATTGACACATCAATCCAAGCCTTAAAGTTAAAGAAATGACAACTGTATTGTCTTCTACATCTCAAAATGTATTTTTCCCAAAACCACATTTTCATCTTTGAAAATAAGCCATAAAACACCTTAACGTCCTACCTTATATAATTTCAAATCTATATAGCATTTTTCCAAAGTTTCATCATATACAGTACATGTAGCAAACTCTGTCGGTAATTGAACACAAATTGTGGAATGATACTGCATGGTTAAAGTAGCTTTCATATAACCCATACCACACATTTGTTACGTTTTATCACCTTTTCATTCAATTTTAAGTTTCCACAATTTGCTACAATGAACCATAGTCAAAAAGTAAAAAAATCATGATATGAGAGTTATTGTTTACAAGAAATTAATCTTAAGTATTTATGTGTGCCACATTAATAAGATAAGTACATTAATAACACACAACTGATAGTTCCCTACATGTACAACTGTTCCTGTTTTATCTGCAGTTGGAATTTAGAAAAATATCATATATCCACCAAGTACATCATAATTATACAATTGGGCAATAAAGTTATGACTACAATTATGTATACTACAAATGTGATGATCAACATCCAATATCAACCTTTTACCTATGAGTCACTTTACATGACTTATTGCAGGTGGCAAATTGACACGGTGCTAAGGCCATACCAATTTAATTTGTTGGTTCTTGGATTTTTTCAGAAAAAAAAATGAAGCGAAAAATTGAAGCGACAGGGTGAAAAAAAATAAAAACAGACCTAGGCATCCTATGATAGACCCAAATGCTATGATAGGAGCCATGAAGTCAACATACATTGTACAAGGCTAGTTTGTAATTCAAACAATGTATTTCATACTTTAAATCAAACCACTGCAATGATAGATGGAAAAACTGTAACAACTTGAAGACAAGGGACTTCCTTCAACTGTTGTGGCCAAAATATGAGCATTTTGGACCTGATTCAGAGGCTGAAATGTTTTTTTTTTTTTGCAGATCAGAAAAAAATGAAGAGGCGAATCTAAACAAATTAAATTGGTGTGGCCTAAGGTGAAGCATAATGTTTTTTCTAGTAGCTTATATTTTATAGCCAAGCACACTAGGTCACCCCTACTCTTCGCAAGTCCCAAGTTGCATAGAAATGCTAATATTATACACCTACAGAGTGGATTTGTACAGTTTGTAGTTAACCTTTTGCTTGACCCCAATACAAGTAACCTGTGTTATAAATTCAAAAGTTTGGATTGTTTCTTCCAATCCAAATTTCGGGTGCCAAATCTAAAATAGCTTCCTCTTAATTATGTGGATACTTTGTAGCACTGCTGAGGAGTTGATGAAAATGAATAAAGATTCAATTTTTTTCTGTCAAGTGCGACGGAATGGCTCCAATGTTAAATGTTTGTCCTGAGTGGTCAAATTCTGTCCAATGACAGAAACACAGATGCTGGAGACTGCCCTGGTCACAAGTCAGCAAGCTGGAGACTGCCCCGAGCACAAATCAGGGAGCCTGAATACATAGTAGACCATTGTAAAAACCATTTACATACGTGGGCTAAAACCTGATGTACAAAAACTGTGTACTCACGTGAGCATACGAAAGTTGCACAAATCAATTTTTTGTGCATCTTTGACATATGTCAAGAGATTGTATGTTCAGATTCTTTGTTACCTCGAGGCCTGGCATACTATCTGAATGTACATTCTTTGTGTATGTCTAAGGAAACCAATTTACATGCAGAAAAAATTCAATGTACACAATTTTTGTACGCTCGCATACATACACAATTTTTATACAGGTTTTGCTTGTGTGTAAACTGGGTCCAAGACCAAATGTTGGTCAAAAATCTACATAAATTCTTTGCATTGGTAGATAGAAAAACAGTTTTACAACATTCAATGTTTTATGGGTCGAGACAAGGCCTTCGCTAGTCGATGCCAGAACCAGGTTTTAAGTTCGTCCTTAACATAGTCGATGACGGTGACAAAACGTAACAACTGCGGAACTTCGATTTGTTTGTACATCACTGGAATCAGTCGCTGCTTCTTTGCTCCTGTGGTTGGAATGAAAAAAAAGATGTTCAGGAAATTATCATGGCAAAATTTTTTTTACAGATTGAGAAACCAAAAACAACACCAAAATTTACAATATGGAGTGTCTTATTAATAACTAAATTATTACTTTAAGATGTCTGAGAAGCAAGGAAATAACTTTGACGTGTCTTGAGATGTTGTTGACGTACCTGGAGACAGACTCATGGCATATTTAGTCTGGAAGTCACACTCAGGGCTGTCCAGAAACTCAGGTGATAGGACCACCACCATACGCTTACATCTGGGGAGGGGGGCATGGGAGGGAGGAGTGAGTGTGAGATGTAATCATACTTACACAAACTTCTCGCAGTACTTTAAAAATATATTCACAATTTTCATTGTCCCTTCTGTACCGCAAACGTATCATTACCGTGAACAAATAATTTGCCGACTTTCTTTTCTTTGCACCTGTCCCCACTGTGAACATAACAAGTTCTTAGACTGCGACCTTTTCCTACCGCAAACAAAAAGTGATTTACAGTATCAATCAATCATCCAAAATTATCAGAGACTTATGTATGTTTGCGGTAGTCATGTCTCTCCAGTTGTATGTTGAATGGCATGAGTTGTGCTACGTACCTAAACCCGCGTTCAGGTCCAGGTCAGGATTCAGGTCCAGAGGTTTAGGTTCAGGTCCGGACTTGTAAGTCCGTAATTAAACACAGGGCATACACTAAATTTGGAACAGACTTTTCAGTGAACATTTCCCGATAGAAATGTGGCATCTTAACTGCAAAATTTTGTAGCGAGCACTGCACTACCAGGGTTTAGAAGCAAGATATGTTACCTATACCTCTGTACCGGTACCCGTACCTGCATGTACCTGATGTTACTTTTAGGAACGCAGCCCTAGTCATGAAAACGAGGACTAGTTCACCTGTTCTCGATGAGCTCTGCTGTGACCGTGAGGTATGCTGTGCCTGGCAGAAGGTCACGGTCGTCGATGCACAGCTTCAGACGACGTCCAAACTCTGAGCTCTCCAGTTTCTCCACCATCTGGATCACAAAGTCTCGGTCCTCCTTACAGTAACACACGTACGCGTCGAATAGCTCCTTGTCAACACCTAGTGGGGGAGGGGGGATGGAAAGAGATTATATGACTTTAACGCCACATTAACTCAATGTCGTGTCTCATTATGCATATGATGAAGTTAAAGATCAACATAAAAGCATACAAGCATACATGTGTACATGTAAATACCAGCACGTCGGCAGAATGTACTGCACCTGTACGAAACCCATAATGTATTGTGCATAGCACTTTAGAAGAACGTTTCATATAAGGTTGTATTTGCGCTAAATACTATATAAGGTAACTCACAACAATTCAATATTCAACTAGACTTCCACGATATCATACCTTCGCCATATGGTGTTAACCTGGACGAATGTTGATGAATAATAAATGTTCTTCATTGATTATGAAAAGAATATCCTTCTTTGCATGAATTATATCACAGTGACAGTCTTATCTTATGAAAAGGGGCTATTCTAGAATTTCTCATAAATTATGTTTAGTGATGTTTGCCTTCACCTAACTATGGGAAAGGTAAATTTACATGTAATTCGATTTAGTGCATCATAAATCAAGGTTTGTTAATTTGTCTAGTACATGTACATGTATTTGTTAAGTTTATTACTTACCATAAGGATCATCCTGTAGTGTAATACCGTGTAGCTCAGACGTGGTAGGTACATTGGGATAGTTACCAGTACTGACTTCTGGCACCTGGACTGGCATTGGTGACGACGATCTTTCTCTGTACTTACTGATGTCTTTTGCTGCGAAACAATCAAACATTTTCGAATCTTTCTTTGGAAGTTTGACACTAAGTGAAATCCTAAGACAAGTATCATACGACACTGAATGAAAAACTTAGAGGAACAGAATATAGAAAACCAAGAAGGGGTGAGAAAACTATTGGTTGGATCATCTGTGGTGTGCCAATAACCTATATCGAAACAGAAGAAACTGCATGATTTTGTATGTAGAACATTACTAGAGTAGACAAATTAGTTACTATACTAGCAACTTGTGTTTTGAGTTGAGTAATAAAATATTAAGTAAAACAAATATCAAGGAGATGGACTGAATGAATCATACAACATTTGGCAAATGTCAACGTATATTTGGTAAAATGATATTATAATAAAACAAAACACATTTTTCTTCATCCTTGCAACCGAAAAATCTAACATACATCAGAATCTGATACCCTATCTTTTGTTCCGGATCAGTTCCACTTCTGTATTTGGTCTTTGTGTAGATCTGATAACATAGAAACAGGAACACATACTCCCGAGAGTATACCAAGTTTCTGTGTATCTTTAGTTAAATAACCTTCTATCTTGAACAGATCTAATTTCTAAAGCTGCTAGTAAATGTCTGGGCCAAATATAAATATATAGTTTTTTTATATTAGACTTTGGCAATCTCTTAAGTCATTCCATTAAAACAATACAGTTTTACAAAGTAAAACTTGCATGAGGAAAGTATATTTTCAATGTCAATGTTGGAAAACCAATTGTAAAATGTTACATCACTCAGGTGTCAGATCATGGAGCTAGAAAAGGTTGATCAGCTTGAAAAATTTATGTCCCTTGCAGGGACCCTTGCCGCCCCCCTCACACACAACAAAGTCTAGATCCAGGCAGTTATTTCTAGGGTCAGTCGGGAAACAGGAAACACAACATTTTCTAAAAATAACCGGGTAATCTGCAAACTTTACAAGTACATGTATGCTGATGGATGCAACCAGTTGTGTGAAGTGTCTTGTGAATTCATAATATATCATGTGTGCACTGGTGCTTAGGTTAGTAAGTATTGGTATGTCTGGATTGTGTATCACTGTTTCAACCATGAACCTAAAGATACAAACTTCTGAACTTTAGTACCTAAAATTTTCAATGTAATTTTACAGTACTTACCTAGTGAAGACTGTATTTCATCTAGAACATCAAACCTCTCTATATGCTTCAGCATCTGTATGAGTTGTCCTATGGTTGCGTTTTCCTTCAGCGACCAGATGTGTAAGACCTCGTACATCGGACTGTTGTTAAGCTTAAAGTTCTCGATTTCGATGTACTCGAAACCCATTTCGTCTGCCAGGTCTTCCCAGTTCGTGCCCCCCACACGAGGGGGGTTCAGCCACAACGCCAGTTTTTTACGCGTCTGTACTCCGAGGTATCGCGCCGGGATGCTGTCGTAGTTTTCCCCGTCAGTGTCCTGTGTTGGCGCGTTTGTTGCCATGGTAACGAGGGTTTCCACCCAATCAGATTATTTAGCGACTGGGGTGTTGCAAGAGTATTACGTTGACGTCCTTGGCAGGCAAACTTTCTAACAAGTTGAATTTTGGGTCAACTGATGATGCTGTACGTCATGTCACAGTGGAATGTCATCATTGTCGGATTTATCCTATATGGAAAGACGTAAAAAAGATTACATTTTTTGACCAAGTCTAGCCAGTCACGTGTACGCAGTCACACACACACAAGCATGCACACATGTACACACACATACACAAGCATGCACACATAGACACACACACACATGTAGTCACACACACACACACACACACACACAGTCACACACACATCCACACACACACACAATCACACACACAGTCACACACACACAATCACACACACACGGAGTCACACAGTCTCAAACACATTTGCATACACACAGTTACACAGTTATGCACAGTCACACACACACACATGCAACCACACACGCATGGCAGTCACACACACAGAAAGTCACACACACAGAAAGACACACACACAGACACACACACAGAAAGACACACACACACAGGCACACACACACACACACACACACACACAGAGAGAGAGAGAGAGAGAGAGAGAGAGAGAGAGACATACACATATACACGGACAGTGAGTTGTGATAACAAGTAACAGGAATCGCCCCCCAAAAATCCACTATAACCTCCTTGCTAAAACTCACCGTTTTTCTCACGATCACACCGGATCTTCGACCTACGTGCACAGACCACAGGAGTGCCCCGGCCGTCTTACCGCCTGGTTGTCGCCCTAAACGACTTGATAGCTTTCGACAGTCACATTTCTTCCCTGGAAACTTCGTCGAAAACTACGACTACTTCGATTGTCAAGTAATTCTGGGGGTTTACGTTGGTATTGATGCACAGTGAGGCGTGTGGGTGTAAAAGTTGTGGGGAAAACCGAACTGGGAAGTTTCTAGTTACTTCCGTGTTAAACTCTCGCCAAGTGAGAGACTCTCGCGAGATTACAGGTGAATATTTTTTGGCGACACCTCTGTGGCGGACCTCGGTTTTGATAGTGAACCTTTGCATTCATTCTCAAAGGAGTTTTGCGGTGCTTCAGTGGCACGGTATTTGTAAAGACTGGGGAAGGAAGACCTTTTCTTTTGAGCACAATAAGGAGGCAATCTCACATTAACTGTTAAATTATGCATTTATTTGTGTTCAACATTTCAAATGTCATTTTCTTCTCAGTAATTCACAGGGCAAAATAATTATGTTATATCTAAAATATTTGTTATACTAAATTATTTGCTATAGCTAAAAACCTCAGAATATGGCTTTATCATTATAGAGCAATTTAAATTGTGCATAGATATCTAACATAGAGTCCTATTTGAAACATTACACTATATACAGTGCATACATGTACATAATATTTTTCAATTTATAATTTAATTTACAATTTATAAAGTTACAATTAAAATGTTATTTCACATAGCAGCAGGTAGCTTAAAATTTGAGCTAAATTATAAATACATATAATAAGGCACACATACTAATACTCACTTCTATGGATTACATTCTTTGTAGCCAGCAGATTTGATATGAAAATGTGACAAAAATTCGACTTCTTTTGCTATACAACACTTGATCATAACAAAACATTACCTTATGGCATTATCTTATGGCTCTAAGTAACCAGTTGCTATTACCAGTCATTCATACATCCGTGAATAGTTTCATCAGGTTGACAAGGCACTGAATAAAGAGACTCTTTTTACACAACAGAGGGGTTTATACTGCTGACATTTCGAAGACTGTCTGTCATCTTCCTCAGGGCAATTATGACTGGTTCACATTGCACTGTATGCAGCAACACCTGTACTGTGCAAAAATTTGGAAAATGAACCTTCCTGCATTTTTGAGAGGATTTTAAAGAAAAATCAGAGATAACTATTCAATGACAAAGTGAGGAGTTTTTCTACGATTCCAGCCCCGCTGGTGATACTGATCAGTCCATCTTGTAAAGTAAAATCTTGGACCTTTAGATAAAAAGTGGATCAACAAGTGGACCTTTGAGCGCGTTGTAGGGGGGGTTCCGTCGAATGTTGTGGGGGCTTCCTCCGCTACAGGCATGTAGTGATTGTTTAACTGCACTGTTGTTTCATTTGCTGTAGATAAATTCTATCAATAGGTTGATTGTCAGTCTGTTGCCATGGTAACAGGTGTGACCTTGTCTCCGACCTGGATGCAGCACGACTCTGTGTCGGCCATGTTGTGAACAAGGTGGATGCCAAACGGGACCTGTAACAGAGGACACAATAATGTAGTGGTTTTCCAAGTTATAAGTAAAACAAACAAACAAAACAAAACAATCATCATAATTTTAAGTAGCCAATTCTTGTGACAAAGAACCATCATACACATTTTCTAAGAATTCTTACATCACTTTTTTTTCATCTGACTAATTCATCATTCACAAGCAAAGCACATGCATAATGTTAAACCTTCACAGTCTAGCCTAACAAACTACTGCTCTGTTCATTCTTCCTCAAATTCATAAATATATGGTGAATCAGCCCCTCCAGCTCTGTCCTGCTACATAACGTAACCCAACACCACAGGATGTCTGCTACAGCACCAGTTACCATGGTGACAGATGTCTGGTCAAGGCTTTGTTTGGAAGAGAAGAGGAAGAAGAAACAGAGCAAAAACGATATTTTCTTTCTGCGAAGGTAATTTAAAACATAACTAAAACAGAACTGTAGATCTGAGATATACACTGGTTAAATAAATACACTTGAAACTTGAAACTAGCCTTCTTGCCACGTATTCGAAGCAGGGTCATGAGTGGTTCCTTGCTGCGTTCAGCAGTTGCCTGGTCTAAACAAACCATCTGACATCGACTGCACCGGCCTCGTGACTGGGGAAGTACAACAAGCAGAATGTTTAATATAGCATGGCCCCAGCCCAGTATCATCCGTAACCAACTGACCGCCTTGCCGATCGTGTGGACTCTCCTAAGGTTATTGGAATAAACCTGTTGTACGGATAAAATTCCCTGAGAAATTGTTCATGCAAGAAGCAGGTATTTCCAACACAATCTAATTTCATGGCTCTCCCTCACTTTGTCAAGTGGCATTTTCCCCTAAGATTTTGAAATCTTGACCCTCTGAAATGATAGTTTTACAGGACTAAATTTGAAATTGCTTCCCCTTAATGTCCACTGCATCATTGCAGCCGGATGATGATGATGATGATGAATGTCCACTAAAATTTTGTGACACACAAAAAAATTCATTACACTTTAATTTAAATATTGTTTTCCTTCAGTCACTCACTCACTCAAGTCCGCATGCTCCTAGAAGCGTAGCGCCCCGGCAAACTGTCCTCCAAGCACTTCTGTTCTGCGCCGCTGCCCAGGCTGTAGTTAGGTTGTAGCCCGCTGCTCTCAGGTCTGATGACAGGACATCCAGCCACTTCTGTCTGGGCCTGCCCCTGGGTCGGGTCCAGTTAGTAGGTGTGGGTTCCAGCAGTAGTCTGGCTGGTTCTGAGGGCGGAGATGATCTGGCGAGGTGGCCGAAGAGTCGGAGGCGGGCAGCTCGAATCTTCTGGGAGACTGGAGGCTGGTTTGTTGACCGGCGTAGGGCGATGTTGGTCACACGGTCATACCACCTAATCCCCAGAATCCTGCGCAAACATTTGGCATCGAAAGCATCTAAGTGCCGCTCCTGTGTGGACGTCAGAGTCCATGCTTCAGCACCATACAACAGGATGGAGAGGACTAGGCTGTTGTAGAGCCTGAGCTTGGTATGCACTGACAGCCGTCTGTCGGACCAGATCTTACTGAGGTTGGCCATCGCTGTGGCGGCCCGGGCAACACGGATCCTGATATCAGCCGAGCTTTTGCAGTCGGAGGTGATCGTGCTACCGAGGTAGTTGAACTTGTTGACAACCTCCACCTCATGGGAATCGATCACTGGGGGAGCAGGAGGCGGTTGGAAGTCGCTCAAGCTTTGGACCTTAGTCTTTCCCCAGCTAATCATCAGTCCGAGGGGTTGTGTCTCCAAGTTCATGGCTTCCAGGGCATGCTTGAGCACCTGTACTACTTCGGCAAGAATGGCTACATCATCCGCATAGTCCAGGTCGGAGATGGTGACGTTGCCAAAGCTTGCACCACAGCTGCTCTGGGATACTGTCTTTGCCATGACATGGTCAATGGCGGTGTTAAAGATGGTGGGAGCCAAGACGCACCCTTGTCTAACGCCACTGTTGATGGTAAAGGGATCCGAGGTCTGTCCGTTGACACGGACACATGACGTAGTGTCTGAGTACAAGAGGGACAGAAGGTCCAGGAGTTTGGAGGGTACACCGAGGATCCTGAGGACTTTCCACAGGCATTGTCTGTCAACAGAATCAAATGCTTGTTTCAAATCGACGTAGGCAGCGTACAACGGCTTCCTGTATTCCCTCCTCATCTCAGCTAAGAGCCTGAGAGAAAGGACTCTATCCACCGTGGAGCGCCCGGGTGTAAACCCACTCTGCTCCGGACGTTGCTTGAGGAGGAGAAGGGGACGAAGCCTTGCAAGAATAACATGAGCAAAGACTTTCCCTGGAACACTAAGTAGAGTGATGCCCCTATAGTTGTTGCAGATGTCCTTTGGGCCCTTCTTCCAAAAGGGGAGAATGACTCCATGACGCCAGTCTGAAGGAATGGTGTCAGATTTCCAAATGGCGGTGATGAGCCTATGTAACCACTGTGCCACTGCTGGGCCGCCTTTCAGTAGCAGTTCTGGAGGGATGCCGTCGCCACCGGCAGCACGTCCTGACTTGAGCTTGTCTACCGCTTTCTGCACTTCATCCACAGTGGGTGGATCAGCTGAGATGGTAGAGTCCTCAGTGGCCAGGTTGGCTAGGGCCTCCAGCTGCGGGGACGGGGGTGGCGGCGGGCGGTTCAGTAAGCTACTGAAATGTTCCTTCCAGCGGTTCAGCTGTTGCTCCTGCGATTCCAGGTCTGACCCGTCAAGGGCCTTTACGCTTGATGTTGGAGGAGTTCTTTTCCCAATGAGGGTCCGCAATGTCCTGTACAAAGAACCATGGTTACCTGTACGGGCGGCAGTCTCTGCTTGGTCGGCGAGGTCATCGACCCACCGCTGCCTGTCCTCACGGAGAAGTTTGTTGCGTCTAGAGTTCAGAGCCTTCAGGGCTGGAAAAAATCACTGAAATCTTTGCCTGTCCAAAGGACCAAATTCCTTAACAGCATTGTTCAATCTTGGATTCAAATGATCCTGGACAGCTTTCAAGTCTATTCTTCTGGTTTACTGCTAATATATGATAGAGCAAAAAACCTGAAACTGGTGTTGTCCAATCATCAGTTCTGACCAATCATCTTCCTCATAGGGCTGTCCACTGTCAATCACCAGGTTACCACGGAAACGGAGCACAAGGTCTTCTGTGGGGATGACCTGCAGGAGAAAACAGATCAGACTGATGTAAATTATAGTTAAACCATTATCTTGTCCTCAGAGTATTTACTGAACATTCGTTTGACTGTATTCATATTTACCTTCGCATATTGTTTTTGCTCTGTTTCTTCTTCCTCTTCTTCTCCAAACAAATAAGGGTCAATGACCTGAACCAGACCTGTCTGTCACCATGGTAACTAGTGTTGGGTTACATCATGTTGCAATTTCATAGCAAGAGGGATTTAGACTCCTGTCACCATATAATATGTGTGTGTTTGAGCAGACCATATGCAAAGGTAAACATTATGCATTTATTTTGGGAATGTAGATTTGCTGCACTGTTTTGGCAACAGGTGGAAGAATGGTACTTAAGCCATACTGGTTACCATTTACATGTTAGTCTTTGTAATGTTATGTTGGGGGATTTGAATGATAGGTGCCCAGTCCTGTCCAATCTCATTATTCTCTTGGGAAAATATTTTATATTTAAAAATCGACCTTGGTCACTTAACATAGAATCATTTATTTCTTATGTAACATATTACTTTAAGTTACGCATGTGGTTTCATTTTGTTTCGTTGTGCCATGCTTTCTTTTGTGTGAATTTTGGAAACAATAAAAAGAATGATTTATAAAAAAAAAAAACATTATGCATTTGCTTTGCAAATGTTAGTCCTTTCTAGTTTATTTTATTTTTAAATTGACTAACCATGTTACTGTTGCTGTTGATCTGCTGCTGTAGTTCTCTCACACTCTGACGGGAGATGAGGAGGTACTGTGACTCGTTGGCCAGAGAAAGGGAAAACTTTCCATCGGCTGAGTTTTCTCCATCTGTAATCATGTCAACATACATCAAGATAAGGCCATACCAATTTGATTTATTGGCTCTGGGATCCTTTTAAAAAAAATATAAAGCCACAGGGCAAAAAAAACAAAAACAGTCTTTGGCTTCTTCTGATAGTCCCAAAATGCTATATAATGATAGGAGCCATGACGTGAACATACATGTATCAGGCTTGTTTATAATTCAAATAATGACTTCAAAACTTTTAATCAAACCACTGCATTGAGAGATGGAAACACTGTAACAACTCTGAAGAGAAGGGACTTCCTTTGACTGTTGGGGTAAAAATATGAGTATTTTGGAGTTAATTCAGAGCCAAAATGTTTTTGTGTGAAAAATGGGGGTTCACACTGGCACAGTATGTTCTGCCGACGTGCTTGTAAAACTTGTTACAGGATGGAAATTTCAAACATGCCGGCTGATGGCTTGACTATTCTACATGAAACCAAAAGACCTTGAAATGACCCTGACCTCTATTGACCTTGCAGTCCCTGTCAGAGTCAGGGTTCTGTCGCACCATACGGCAAGGTTGTCCAAGGAATCTTGTCAACCAATCAGCAGCCTCGTTACCACAGTCAAGGCCTGTTATCCTGAATGCAAAACAAACAAAAGAAAAAAAAAAGCAGAGATTGACATATTGAGTTTATTGAGAGTATATTGCAAATTCATGCCCGAGGGCTTATTGCAAGACCATGATAACAAAATAAACAGTAAAAATGATAACAAGTAATGCTTATCATTTTTATATCATGAAAGAATCTTAAGTTTATAATTGTTACTATAATACAACTTTACCAATAAAATAATATACGTGTCTGATAATATACAATCATGTTTTTCCAAACACAAGATCTTGGTGTCTTTTTACTTTAAAGTGGCACTAGTACTACATGCATTTCTAGAATTTTCTTAAAATGAATAAGAACCAAGCAAATAAACTAGTTTGGCTTAACATACCTGTCTCCGCATACTTTACTCTGGCACATGGAGGCTTCCATATCCCCCATTTTTGCACCAGTGAGGGGCACATTCAATGGCTTCATTCCTGTCAAATGAACCCAAAATTAAGAGTGCAATCCTTAAAAGTAATAAAATCATTGCTGGTCAGTGGTCACATCAAAAATTAAAATACTCACAAGCAAACTAACTGGTTTGGACTGTTCCAACACAGAAATTTGACTACCCAAATTTTCAACTGTTTGACTAGATGGTCTTTTCAACTTCAGAATTCCTTGAAAAAGGCTGGAGTTAAAGACTGTACATTTGGGTAATGGTAAGTCAAATTTTTGGTGTTAGAAATTACAGTTCAAACCTGTTTCAGAATACTAATTTAAAGCAAATGTAAAGTTACTGTATGAACAGTATCACCTTCAGCTGATAGCTGCAGTACTGCTTCAGTCAGGTAGATGGCAGGCCTGATCAGGCAGAGTTTGGGCTCCCTTTTCTGGCTGAGACAAACACCGCTTTCATTGACGACCATCCACTCACGGTCGTACATGAGGCCTCGAGCACTCAGCTGCCACGACTTTACCTGCGAAGTGTTCACAGTCAGTAAAAACAGTTCAGCAACAGAAATACTTTTTTTCAATGTTCCAAAATATTGCAGATGAGTCAAATTTTGTTCTGCAATTTGGAAACACTTCCTGCAAATACACAAGCCTTCGTATATACTACATGTACAACCTCTCTTAGGAATGCTACAGCTTCATAATGCAAAATTGCAGATTGTAGAATTTTTCTTCTGCAATATTGTAAATCTCTCTGCAAAATGCAGAATGCAGATGGGTATTTCGAACACAGTAGTTCATACGTGACATACATGTATTGTCAAAGCTCTAAAATTTAATAATGTAAGAAAGGCAGGGGCTACATGCCTGTATTGAGCATATATTCAAGCTAGCTGACTTTGCTTTACACTAAATTCCAGGCACCAATTTCACTTTACACTCTACCTTAAATGTTCCTCGAACATACCTCAAATGCACCACAAGACTTGACAGGATACAGGAAGATATTGGTGAGGTGACGCTGTCCTGGAACTTTTGCCTCACTGTTTTCTGTTGAATTCTCTTTCTCATCTTGTCTTTTAGAAGTTTCCTCCATGACGAGGTCCTTCTTTAAGGAATCCCTACAGCTTTCTTGAGGATCATCTGCTTGATTCTTAGATGAATTTTTCAGCCCTGAAGACTGTAATGTTGCTGATCTCTTTGTTTCTGTCTTGTCATGCTCAACTTCTAGCCCTTCATTTGCATTCTGCACATTCAGTTTAGAAGTTAGCCCCGTATTGCGGTACTGCTCATTATGAGCATTACCAGCACTGGTGGTGGTTTTTGGTGACTTCTCGACAAAACACTCCTGGACGAAGTCGAGAAAGAATTGTGCATCTTCAAATGTGGACATGTAGCCGAAGGAGATGCGGACAGAACCGGTGGGTCGTCCGGAAATGAGGTCCTTGTCGTCACCGCAAACGTGGCCGGCCTGCGGAAGGAAAGAGGAACTTTTAAACTTGTGAAGTACCACAAGAATAGGGTTGTGTACCAGTACACGGTACCGGTGCACTGGTACTGTACCACAAAAATCGATTAGGTAGAGGTCCGAAATACCGAATCACTAAGTACCAGTACTTGAAAGTTACACTACAATAACTGTCAACACAAAGACAACCATAGATGACATGTAGAGTGAGCTACACCTGCTTGGACCAGATGTCTGTCACCATGGTAACTGGTACTGTAGCTGACACCCCTTGCTGTTGGGTTACATTATGTTGCAAATTGCAGAAAAGAGTTGGAGAGCCTAGTGACCTTATACTAGTACTTGGAATGTGTTTGAGTACTTACCTGGTAGTTTTGCCTGAGTTGTTCATCACTGAGGCCCAAGTGTCTCCTGCAGGCACCAGAGTTACAGAAACATCCTGTCCTCACGTGGATGTCATGTAAGGCTGCCAGTTTATCCACCTGTAATACATGGGGATTGGGACTACAGTTGGAGGTACTAGTATTGTTTTTGGTATGTCTGTGTGTGTGTGTGTGTGTGTGTCTGTGTGTGTGTCAGTGTTTCCGCATGGCCCTTTGCTTTAAAGGTATTCTATGAAATAGGGTTGATTCTACTAACTACACTAAAACAAATGTGCAGAAAGTTGATTTAAAAAAAATAATTCATAACAATAAACCTACCTCAGAATAACCCACAAAGTTGCCATTGGCTCTCAGGAGGTTAAAGTTGACAATGCCACCTTGTGTGGTGATGTCATCAAATTGTGTGTCTGTGTACACGACTGCGGCTGGCTGACCGTTGTGGTGTTTGAGTGAAGTCAGTTGAAGGTAAACATACTGGGCCAGACTGAAGGTGTGCTGGGATACGTACTGCATTCCTCCTGAAACAGGGTTTTAAAGGCATATAATTATGGATGAGGAAATCCATCTGATATTTACTGTGAGCTCACAAACCCAACTACATTACATACATTTACATGTAGCTAAAAGTCCAGACTGTTAGACTGACCAGTTGGTGGGGCTTGAACCCCACTGTTACACAACTGTTCGACTTAAGCTAGTGCTAATGAGATACAAAATGTTGGTGCTCATAATTAGTTTGCACATTGTAAACTGCCAAATGCATATATGATACATGTATGTACTGTTGTCCTACCAGTAAGGTTCTCCAAGGTGTCAAATCCATGTCTGAGTGCTATGATGTCTAAGAAAGGAAGGGTGCCATCTTCAAATCTGTAAGAGACAACAACTCAATCAGATTTTATTTTAAAAGTCAATCAGATTTTTTAAAAATTCTTAGCTTTTTTTTGTATTCTCACATTAATCACATACGGTATTTGACTAATACAAAACATAAGGCTGAACTAGAATTCTCAACATCAATGAAAACATTGTCTGAGGGAAAAGTCTGAAACAGTGTCAAACTTTCAGGGGGTCAATATATATACAAATGTAATAAGATCCATGTTTCTATTAAGCCCTCAATTCCTGTGTTCTTGTCTTGCTACTTAGTAACTTGTACTTTAAAATGTCATAGAACCAAATAAAGGAATTTGTGTGGCTTAAAATAGACATGGTGTTACGATAATTCAAACAAAAGTAACCTGTCGTGTAGATTTGGCCTGGGGATGTAGAACCTTCCATTGCTTGTAACAGCCAATGCCGTGCCACCCCCGAAGTACGTCTTCTTCAACGAGTCCTCCGCGTCCTTACGTACAATCAGTGCACCCAATCCCGTCGGGAAGCCGAACACCTTGTAAAACGAAATAGCCACAAAGTCCGCCTCGCACGAACTTAGATTGAGAGGGCTCGTACTAACAAAAGAAGCGGCGTCGAGACATGTGAACCATTTTCCTTCACTTCTCTCACACAAAGAAAACTGCTTTCTCTTCACTTTGCTGCACCATTCGAGGGGAAACTTCCGTCCGGAAAAATTGCACATGGCCGGATAGGCAAAGAGATGAGAGTGGCCACAGCTGTTAACAGAATCAGGTCTCTCTGATTCCTGGAAGAAATGTGTTGTACCTGAAAAATTAGGTACACTGCTGTTTGGTGTACAGTTTTCTTTGCTGTTGTTCTTTTCTGCAGTTACTGTTCTGTTTTGTGGATTCCCTTTGTCATTGCTACATCCTAGCAACTCTTCCTCTGAAACACAGACTATCGTCGCTCTTTCCTTGGCCGCAACTTCTCGGACGCCTAAGACAGAGGTGTGATTGTCCTCCAAGTAGGAGAAGATGCTCCCGTCTTCCCAGGGGAAAGACTCTGCAAGAAGTCTCAAGGTACCTGTGCAGCCTGAGGTAAAGATGATGCTGTGATGTTCCACACTCGTGTTGAAGTGTTGGAGAATCCTGTGGAGAAACAAAGCACTAAACGTTTATTGAGGTGAGGCATCAAGTTCTTTCTCTTTCTTTGACTGATACTGAAAGACATAAGGTCCAGACCTGTACCTGTACCTAAAAAAGTCTGGCCAATCATCTGTAAGCATATATGTAAAGTAGACAAACCCTTCTTCTTTAGGGGTAAATTTTCATCTTTGCATGATGGTTTACTAGTATATATTTTAATAAGAATATCTACAAGCTTCCTGGTTTTCAAGTGCAGAATTGTCAAAATTGTCATTTTTGAGAATGCAATTTACTAAATTCTAGTGTTTAGGTCTGTGTACCTAAATATTTTTACAGGTACTGGTTTGGGTATCTGGAACACATACAGTCCTATTTCTTCCATGAACCGGAAAGCTGTCAACAGTTAGTAAGACAACTTTTGTGAGCAAATGCAGGATATCTCACTCTCATCCCCCTCTATGTAAAAAGTCAACATTTCAGACCCCTGACCTGAACCTGAGTTGGTCGATGGTGTCTGAGGTGAGGCGACTGCTGGCACTCCTGGTGTGAGGGTTCCCGTACACGTGTGTCTGTAGGTCCTGCATGTAGGACTCCAGCTGGCTCTGGGCATAGTGGGTGGTGCCTGTATGGTCCAGGTATACCATTCCTGATAATAGAGAACATGAAAAACATCATAGAATACTTGTTATTTTTCTTTATTAATAATAATAGCAAAAAAAAATTTTTGTCATTCCAAACATTCATCTCACAGTGTTGGTGATATCTAATTACTAACTAACAGAGCTAAAGTGTTGTCTTATAGAATGATAAAGCAAATGCCAAATAAGTTATTCTGTTTTTAAAAATTCCAATAAATACATGACTGCAGTTGAAGGAAAGGCTGCTAGGGGGCTCGCACTGTAACCACTCCTTCTTGAGTTCAAAATAAAGACACCTAAAAGCCATGACCACTGCATGAGAATACCAAAAACAAAAACTCTTCTGCAGTACAAAGGGCCCAAAAACTGGATTTGTCCTCTGTTTTTCTGATCTAACAGTTAACAACACACATAATATAACGTTACCAAAAATTATTTCAACAAAAATTATGCAACACTCCGACCCTTGGGGGTTATATCATTTCATACTTATATGTTTTACTTTACAAAAATACCCCACCCATGTTGACGTTACATAATTTGTGAGATGAGTATAGCATGGCTGGTTATGTGCGTGTGTCGCAAGAAAAAAGAAAGTAAACAAAAAACTTGTTGACTACTAGTTTAGTTAAATCAATTTTTGGGCTCAAATGAAAGTTGGAGTTGCTCACCTTTGAGTCTAGCGAACTCTTGTTCTTGCATCTTGTCAATTACCCCTCCATATCCGTATAATTTGCCGTAGTTGTTTAGAAAATCGGCCTTTTTCCTCTGTCGATGTTCAACATTTCGCCACTTGTCGGCCATTTTGTTTGAAACTTTCTCCAGGCCAAAGTTCAGGGGTGAACGACCTTGTGGTCGGAAAGACAACAACTTTGCTTTGCTGGCGTTTTTTTTTCGATGACAATCACAGAAAGACGCTCGAAACATTTAAAACCTGTTTGCTTGTCTTGTTTTGTCCAATACTCGGGAAATTACTTTGCGAGGGTTCGAAAACTATTTTATCACGTGACTTTGTTTTGGATATCAGAAACTGTCATGGCGGCGAAGTTACCAAATAAAAAGACCAATAACACCTCGTAGCTTTTCTCAAGACCAACATGAGCCAACTGGTGGACGCTGATCGCGAAGAAATAACCGAGTGGCCACCGAGGGACACGGAGAAGAGTAGCAGCTCGGATGAAAGCGAAGACGGGGAGAGAGATCGCCATACTAGCGGTGCAAAAGGGGAGGGGCGCGGTCCAAAATATGTCAGACGACCTGCTAGTATTCGGGAAACTTCATTCCCTGACGAAAATCCTCCCGAAAAGCGCGCCAAACTCTGTGAAAGTGACGACGATGCCTCGGAAGAAGTGGAACCGTCAGCGCAAGCCGCCTTGGCGCGGTGGTGGCGAAGGGAAGGTAGAAACACAGTCAAAGACCCCCTCCCAAATTCTTCAAACCCAAACACAACACTCCTGCACGTATCAAAAACGAAGGAATCTCGAGACTTCTTAAAATCGGAGACAAGTCGTCTGAAACAGAAACTGAGGAGTACCACTGGACCTGAGAAAGCTGGGGTGTTATCTGCACTTGCCTCTTACTACGATATATTGGGACAATATCAGGAAGCCGAAACATGCTTGAACCAGTCCCTATATCTCAATCCATCTTCTAAACACACTCAATGGCTGCTTGCTAAAATAAAGAAGCAGCTAGATGCCATAAACGTACAAACAGAGCTAACTAAAAGTATAGGAGAAAAGGAGAAATTTTGTTTCCAAGCTCTTCACCTGTTGAAAGAGTATCCGGAAAGTCTCTGAGTGTGGATGAATTTTTCAAGAGATATTCCTCAACAAGTACACCTGTGGTGATCACAGATGTTGTTGAAGAAATGACTCTTTCTCATTGGACAATTGAGTACTTGAGAACAGTGATAGGTCACAAACAAGCTCCGGTCAAACGCATGGTCCCTGGTTCGGCAGAATGGGCACAGTTAGAAACGGCACGAACAATGACTGTGTCTGACTTTATAGATTCGCTAGACGAACACAACAGACAGAAGTTATACCTCTTTGACTGGAGCTTGCCAATTCATTGCCCTGAAGTTTCAAAAGAGCTGACAGTTCCGAAATATTTCCACCACGATTTCTTGAAGAAAACCCGGGAAGGCTCGCTGTACAGGGACAGCTGGCCGAGCTTGTTCATCGCCCCTGCAGGACTGTCTGGTGGACTTCACGTGGACGCTTTCGGATCAAACTTTTGGATGGCCCTATTTCAGGTTAAGATAAATTTCATTACCTCCAGGAAAAATGGAGGTATTCTTTTTGTTGTGTCCATGTGTGTGTTCCTGTGTTTCCACATGACCCTTAAAGGTGAGGTTGTAATGGGTATGGTTGGGTTTAGTCTGTCCCAGAGCGAGAAAGTCATTAATAACTTCTGGTAGCATTCCCTGCATTTACAGGTATTTTTCATTACAATTTTTACATGACCTCCTTGACAGCTGTTTCCCTTGCACGATAAAGAAGGGGATTGCAAAGGGAGATTTTAAATGGGTTACATTGCATCATTAGTTGTCTTGGAGCCCTTTTTTCATCGTATACTATTTTCGAGCCATAAATTTACCTTCAATCTTGTTTATTTTTCAGGGGAGGAAGAGGTGGCTGTTCTTTCAAAAGGAAGACCTCCCCCTGTTGTACCCTTCCTACAATCATTCCACGGACCCAACCTTTGACCTGGATGTATTTAACCCAGACATGCAGAAGTACCCTCTGCTGAGCCAGACACACCCGAGGGAGTGCATCCTCCAACCGGGAGAGCTGCTGTTCGTTCCAGCGGGATGCCCCCACCGGGTAGAAAACCTGGACAAATCTCTGGCTGTTTCCGGGAACTTTGTGAACAAGTCTAACTTTGGGATCGTGAAAGAGGAGCTAAAGATAAACGCCCTGAAAGATCCTCGTGCTCTCGACTTGCTCCAACAGTTCAGTGACTTAGATTTTTCGAAAACCATGCATGAGTAAAGCAAATTACAAATGTTAATCTTCATCATTTGTAGGAAAGAAGTTATGCAATGAAACTGAAAATCTGATGCAAGAGTGTTATAAGCCTAGATGCATGTAGCAATACATATAACACTATTCACAGGTTCCTAAATGTGCAACCCTAGTGGAGGTATCTTATTCATATTACAACAGTGGAGACCATTGATGTCAGAAAAGACAGCTGACAAGAAGTAATATGCTGATAATGTTTATTTTGGAACTTGAAGAACTGTAAAACTGGTACAAGTTAGTGTTGTTCATTATACATTCCTTACAGTACAGAAAAGAAAAAAGCAAGTTAAGATGCTCATGCCTCTACACCTACAGTGTAGCTGGTATCATAGTGAATGAGACATTTCTCAGTTCCAAATGTCAAAGATGGTTAAACAAAGATCTTTAATATATGTGAATTGACTTGAATTAAAACCAACTACAAAAGTATTGGTCTTTGTGAAGTCGAAATGCCATCTTAAGCCTCTTAAGTGTTCAGTTGTCCAGAGCTGTCCGATAGGACCTATTAACCTGGTATCCAGTCTATCGCGGTTGGGGCGGATTTTCTTTGGGGCTGCTGGAGCTTTTCCCCGCCGGCCTCAGCTAGGTTTCCCGGTAGGTTTTTCACGATGGGAGATTGATTAGCCCCACCACGACTTGTAGTGGGGCTAATCAACTCTTGGCGTGCTAAACTCCTACAGGCGTAACACCTACCGGGCGGTCTGTTAAGCTGGACGGGGGGAAACTATTAGAGCCCCGAAGACAGGCTGCCACAACCACGACAGAAGGATACCAGGCTAGCAGGTCTGGGCGGTAGAATCAGTAGCGGTCGGGGAGTCCTTCCGGACGGTAGCGATTAGGGTCTCCTCCGTTGCGGCCCCACAGGTTCGCCTCCTGGTCGGCACGTCTGTCCGCCTCGCTCTGACCTCTAAAAGCGCTCTGGATCCCCTCCCGGGCGTCACTGTGACGGGTAAATCATGGAACGTATTTTCAATCTAGTAAATCTAAGATTTAGATGAATCTAGGGGGTCGTATGACATAACGACAGAGCGTTCGGCTCGGTCTGAACCAAGAGGTCCCGAGTTCGAATCCTGCCACCGATCTTGTGAACTTTACACAAATTTCCTCACTTTAGTCAGGTGAAAATGAGTATGTCTGTTGCCCGTTGATGCATTTGACTGCGTTGGTGGCGGGCTAAAAATAGGTTGAAAAAACTTGAGTGTGCCTCTGCTATGTCATGTAGGAATAGGAAAAAATCTAAGATTTATAGTAAGCTAAATTTCTCGCTACCCGTACAAGAAGGGCAGGTATCGAATTGGTTCGCGTTTTCCACTGTTGGCCGCACCACTAGCAATGTACAAAATAGTGAAACAAACCGGAGACAAAACTTTATGATTTTAGGAGAGCAGGAAGAAAGGTCAGAATCAGCCCACTGCGCATGTTCCACTGTTGGTCGACGTCGCTTTAATACGTAAGAAACAGCTTGATTGAAAACCAATGGAGTAAAAGGTATTGCTACTCATGTCAGGATAATTGACCTGGAATCAAGGGGCTCACCTGATAACCTTGGCGGCCCACTTGCCACCCGGCCCCCGCTGAGCGGCGTCGTAGTTCCCCCGGGCGTGGAAGTACTTGTCCGAGTTCTTCCAGTTCGCCTCGCGCATATCGCTGAAAAAAAATGAGAGAGGAGAATTAAAACGTGTCGTCTAGTTTTAATTCGCTGAAAAGCTATTATGATCTTCAACTGGTCACACTAACGTGCATGATATATGTACATTGCAACACACACACACACACACACACACACACACACACACACACACACACACACACACACACACACACACACACACACACACACACACATACACACACAGTCACACACGCTCGCACACACACGTATACGTACCTCTGTATCTGTAAATATAGCCGGTATAACCGCCCTTCGGCGTAACACACTAGCTTGTACTTATATCATGCGGTACACACGTACACATACAAATACACATATGCATACAGCCTGATATCACATACATATGCACATACACGTACACGTACACGTACACACACACACACACACACACACACACACACACACACACACACACACACACACACACACACACACATACACACTAAAAACACTGACCTGTAAGCTCGGTACATGTCGCCAGCGCCCTGCACAGCCTCTCTAGTCCTGTCTACAGCCGTCCTCACGGCCCCTCTTGTCCTGTCTACAGCCGTCCTCACGGCCCCTCTTGTCCTGTCCACAGCCGTCCTCACCCTGCCATTGCCTCCGCCTCGGCCTCCGCCTCGGCCTCCGCCTTGGCGACGGCCGAACCAGGCGTCGGCGCTAGCGCAGACTAGCACAACACACACGGCAAAGAGCAGAAGACGCATGTCTGGGATGTCCGAAACTGTGGAACATAGAAAAGTGTAAAACTGTCAACAATAAGGCCCTGTTGATTTGATTATATGGTTGACATCCTCTGGGAACCCCAAACCTGATTTGATGCGACCGTGCGAATAAAAAAAAAAAGTTTGGCAAAAAAAAAGTTTCCTTCATTATTAAATCTATGTGGTCATAAAGGTTGAACAAACACTCGGCCAAATAGAGAGATAGCATGTCAGACGAGTTGGTCTACTGGAGAGAACCGTTGAGTTTGCCGCTTCGGGTGCGGCAAAATGTACTCTCTAGTGGACCAACTCCATCGGCATGTTATCTCTCTATTTGACCGATTTCTACTCTTTCCAACCGCCTCCCGAAGCCTGGTGGAGGCTAGGACCTACCCACCTACCAAGTTTACGAAAATCTATCCATATAGTTGAGTTATCATTCTAAAGTACTAGTATACGAAAACACCTAAACACACAACACTCAAACGCTAACATAGACATAACAAGTTTCAATGTTGTGAAAGGTAAAACATGGTTCCCTACCTTACTCGAAGACACAATCGCCGTTCGGACGGGAGTACAGTGGATGTGGATTCAAGTTGCACTGCCGGTCCAAACCCCGAACTTTGGTGTTTGTTACACCGCCTTTCTTTTATATACCCTGGGCAAGCAGGAGGGGGTTTCCCTGCAGCTTCTGGCAAAGCTTAAGTTTGAGGAAGTAAAATTCTGCTGACCTTTGAGGAAGTAATTATGTTCTAGATTCAGCTGAGCCAGCTGAACTATACCTGACTCAGCACACGTTACGTGACGGCATGGCCCACGGTGTTGTTTTTGAGAAAAGCGATGTGTGTGCACAAAATTGTCGATTTTACATGTAGGTCTCCTTTTTGTTAGTTAGTTAGTTTGTTTGTTTGCTCCGCATAACCAGTAAACCGCCTTTCGGCGTGACACACCAGTTTTGTGCATGTACGTACATGTACAAGCTGCGTAAGACCGGACTGTAAGGTTTGAACCACTCACAGTGTGGTGGGTTCTTTAACGCGCGTGGGGTGTGGCTCTCCCCAAACACAGGACCTCCTTTTAACGTCATGTCTGAGGGACGTCCCTAACCGAAGCTAAGTACTAATTTTCACCTGAGGGAAGTGAGGAAAGTCGTGTAAAGTAAACCATTCTCAAGGGTACAAGATCGGCGGCATCGGCAGGATTCGAACCCAAATAAGCCAAAACCAAACTTCTGCGTGGAGACTAGCTTTGGCGTGCGATCAACTCCACGGCTTTAGAAAGTATATTTACATGTGTTAACCTTCTGTTGTTTAACGAGTACATTTTACTGGTGCCAAAAGGCTACCTCAGCATGCAGGCTTTTTTCAGTCGGTCCTTTCTTGGATGTCGCGATCAGCTTGTCTCTGACATGACCGGAGGTAAACCCGGAAGTTTATTCTGAACTTCCGACGGGTTCCCGAAAAACTGCAGCTCGGATGGAAAAAGTGTCACGTAGGCAAGATCAACTCCAAAACGGGACATATACTACGTGTATAACAGACGTGTCTTTGGTATCATTGTTTTGTTTGTTATTGGATGGGCCGGCTACTCTCTCTTCGTAGCGAAGGGTTGAATTGTGAGGAGCTTATACACTTATTGAGGCTTAATCGCAAGGGTCTGGAGCGGCTGCATTCGGCGCCAGCTCAGATGACCTAAATACGACCCCATGTAACTGTAAGGTTTATTAAATCACTCACACCAGGAAGAAATCTAGGAAGAAAATCTCATCGCTTGTGCAAACAGACATTTATTTACATTACAAGACAGTTACAGGATTGTGTTTTCCTACCAACATGTAATATGTACAAAGTTTATAATGCTGAAAATTCTTGACGTAAAAAACATGCATGGAACACGTGTCATTCTTAAATTCAATAGAGCAACAATGTGGAACAAACTTTGTTGCAGATGACAAAAAAACCGTTGTATTTTGGTGTCATTCTGACTTTAAGTGTCTGGTATTTTTGGAGCAGTCGTCATCCGCATTGTCATGCATTTTGTGGTGATAAATAATATCTATAAGCCTATACTAGAACTGTTATAGATGTAATTTCCGGCTAGTGATAATACTACATGTATTGTTAGTTTGATGTGTTAACACGGGTTACGTCATACAATCACATGACAGCGACCACATATGCAAATTAGTCTTCAGTATTTGACCACCAAGCATGGCAGACAATAGTTACTTCATTGTCACGTGAGCGCCAACGCCCAATAATGTCTTAGTACAATGTAGCAAGCATCCTTCATTGTTTACTTGACGTGTGAATACTTGGGGGAAATTTGTTGGGTCACCTGACTTTCCTGATGGTTTCAAAATACTGCGTGTAACTAGGTTGTTACCATGCACTTCCAATAACAACCGCTAGAGGCAGTAAACTCAATTAACCTTTTCAAAAGAGCAGAGGTTGTGGTACAGGTGAGCATGGCTGAAACGTTAGCTGTCCACTTCGCTAACGTTAGCTGTCCACTTCGCTAATGTTATTTAGCTATCCACTTCGTTAAAAATAACGCTAGCTGTCCACTTCGCTAACGCTAGCTGTCCACTTCGCTAATGTTAGCTGTCCACTTCGCTAAAAATAACGCTAGCTGTCCACTTCGCTAACGCTAGCTGTGCACTTTGCTAACGTTAGCTGCAGCTGTCTACTTCGCTAACGTTAGCTTTTTCACTTCGCCAACGTTAGCTGTCCACTTCGCTATCTTTGGATGACGAAAAGGTTTTGTTTTTAGTCAAACTAAAAAAAGTCACATTAATTTAAATCACAACGAATAATCTTATAAGCTTTTATGAACCTCTAAAAAAATTCCTCCGTGTGCCAAAACCGCTGGCGAGGGTTTAAAACTCTATGCTAGCAAATACGGAAAACATCGCAAGGTGGCGCTTCTTTACTTGCTAGCACGTAGTTGCAAACTCCACGGCAGAAGCTGGCACGTCGGCCTTTGGAGTGGAAGACGACAGCGGCTGGGCTTCAACCGCGCTTTCGTTCAGCTTTCGAAACTGCCGCGAGGCTTGTGGCGACGCCCGCTGGCCCATGGAGTTGAGCTTTCCGACCCGGAGCATCCGTACCTTCTCCGGAGCCCTGCTGGATTCGAACATGTCGCTTTCCACTCCGAACTTCTCCCGACAACAACAGCACAGCAGGTACCCGAACGCGCGGCGCATCTTCCTGATCCTGAAGACGTAAATGAGCGGGTTCATGGCGGAGTTCAGGATCGCAGGTACCGTGCCGTAGGTCAGAACGGACGGGGTGATCATCCCGGAGCCCCCGGCACCTCCCGTCACCACATCGATGAAGATCATCGTCATCAGCGGCGCGTAGCACAGCACGAACACGATCAGAACCAGCGCCATGGTCTTGGCGAAGACGATATCTGCAGGTTCCCTGTGGTCGTCGATCTTGTGTGTCTCCATGAGAGACGTCTGTTGGTGGATGGAGAAGTATGTACGGAAGTACACAAACGACTGCAAGAGGAGAGCGACCATGAAGATGGTGAGATCAGGGTTAGGAACCCCGTGGTGAAGGGGGCCAGCGCTACGGAGCAGGTAGGGTGGTCGCAGTTCGGCCGGCTGTCGTTCAGGGCCTGGGAGTTGATCCGACACTTGCAGTGCTCCACGCAGTTCCAGCCCATGAGGGGAACGGTTGCTATGGCGACGGCCAACGCCCAGATGACGCACACGGCGATGATGGCGTGCTTTCTCGTGACGTAAGCAACATGGTGGACGATTGTGATGTATCTAGAACAAGAAGAAGATTATGTCATTACATGTATAAATTTTGTTACCAGCTACACCAACTTTTATGTGCTTGAACAACTGTGTGGCCCAAGGGAAACGGAGAGATGGGCATCGCCCTTATACAACAAAAGGCGATTTTATTAGTTCAAGATCGATACGCTGAAATTCGTTTCTTTTTACCCCCTCCCCCATCTTGATTGGATGGACACCCAGATTGCGTCACGTACCTGTCTACACCAATCACCAACAGGCTTCCAACCGACGCCATCAGCGTCATCATGATGATGAGCTTCCTCAGCATCCACTCGAACGGCGCGATTTTCACGTCCAAGATGTCGTTCACGAGGAAACTGTAGAAGGAGATGAGCCCCAACAACAGGTCCGCCACCGCCATACTGGTGACGAAGACGTACATCGGCTTGTGGAGCCCGCGAGGTCCTTTCTTGATGGCTACGATGACCATGACGTTCAAGAAGACGATGATCACAGAGACGGCAATGGCAATGAACTGTATGGTGCCGTACTCCGAGTCTTTACACTGCTCACCGAACGGGGGCAAAGACCCGTTCGTATGAAAGTCAGACGCAAGCGGCCAACTACTAGCAGTGGAGTTTGTTAGCAACTCGGCAGTGTTGACCATGGTTGGAGTTGTGGTGACTAACAGAGTTTCGGTTACAGGATTCCTTTGGTCTGTTGTATTGAGGGGCGCGGTTGCAACAGTTGAAGGAGTGGTAGCGGTGTAATTACTACTCGTGCTGTGCGNAAATCACAACGATAATCTTATAAGCTTTTATGAACCTCTAAATTCCTCCGTGTGCCAAAACCGCTGGCGAGGGTTTAAAACTCTATGCTAGCAAATACGGAAAACATCGCAAGGTGGCGCTTCTTTACTTGCTAGCACGTAGTTGCAAACTCCACGGCAGAAGCTGGCACGTTGGCCTTTGGAGTGGAAGACGACAGCGGCTGGGCTTCAACCGCGCTTTCGTTCAGCTTTCGAAACTGCCGCGAGGCTTGTGGCGACGCCCGCTGGCCCATCGAGTTGAGCTTCCCGACCCGGAGCATCCGGACCTTCTCGGGAGCCCTGCTGGATTCGAACATGTCGCTTTCCACTCCGAACTTCTCCCGACAACAACAGCACAGCAGGTACCCGAACGCGCGGCGCATCTTCCTGATCCTGAAGACGTAAATGAGCGGGTTCATGGCGGAGTTCAGGATCGCAGGTACCGTGCCGTAGGTCAGAACGGACGGGGTGATCATCCCGGAGCCCCCGGCACCTCCCGTCACCACATCGATGAAGATCATCGTCATCAGCGGCGCGTAGCACAGCACGAACACGATCAGAACCAGCGCCATGGTCTTGGCAAAGACGATATCTGCAGGTTCCCTGTGGTCGTCGATCTTGTGTGTCTCCATGAGAGACGTCTGTTGGTGGATTGAGAAGTATGTACGGAAGTACACAAACGACTGCAAGAGGAGAGCGACCATGAAGATGGTGAAGATCAGGGTTAGGAACCCCGTGGTGAAGGGGGGCAGCGCTACGGAGCAGGTTGGGTGGTCGCAGTTCGGCCGGCTGTCGTTCAGGGCCTGGGAGTTGATCCGACACTTGCAGTGCTCCACGCAGTTCCAGCCCATGAGGGGAACGGTTGCTATGGCGACGGCCAACGCCCAGATGACGCACACGGCGATGATGGCGTGCTTTCTCGTGACGTAAGCAACATGGTGGACGATTGTGATGTATCTGGAACAAGAAGATCATTATGTCATTACATGTATAAATTTTGTTACCAGCTACACCAACTTTTATGTGCTTGAACAACTGTGTGGCCCAAGGGAAACGGAGAGATGGGCATCGCCCTTATACAACAAAAGGCGATTTTATTAGTTCAAGATCGATACGCTTTTTCTTCGTTTTCTTTTTACCCCCTGCCCCATCCTCCGTCTTGATTGGATGGACACCCAGATTGCGTCACGTACCTGTCTACACCAATCACCAACAGGCTCCCAACCGACGCCATCAGCGTCATCATGATGATGAGCTTCCTCAGCATCCACTCGAACGGCGCGATCTTCACGTCCAAGATGTCGTTCACGAGGAAACTGTAGAAGGAGATGAGCCCCAACAACAAGTCCGCCACCGCCATACTGGTGACGAACACGTACATCGGCTTGTGGAGCCCGCGAGGACCTTTCTTGATGGCCACGATGACCATGACGTTCAAGAAGACGATGATCACAGAGACGGCAATGGCAATGAACTGTATGATGCCGTACTCCGAGTCATTACACTGGTCACCGAACGGCGGCAAAGACCCGTTCGTAGGAAAGTCAGACGCAAGCGGCCAACTACTAGCAGTGGAGTTTGTTAGCAACTCGGCAGTGTTGACCATGGTTGGAGTTGTGGTGACTAACAGAGTTTCGGTTACCGGATTCCTTTGGTCTGTTGTATTGAGGGGCGCGGTTGCAACAGTTGAAGGAGTGGTAGCGGTGTAATTACTACTCGTGCTGTGCGCTGTAGTTGTTGTAATGTTGGGCGTTGTCCAGTAAAGTGTGGTGGTGTTACTCACGATAGAGGCCGTGGTGTTGTGTAGACCCAGGACTGCACCCAACGTAGACACGTTCATCGTTTAGTAGAGCAGTATCATGCCTATGACCTGTTGTTGGTGTTGAAGAGAGATCAGATGTCCCAAGTCAGCTAGACGTGTTCATGTCTTCTGGCAGGCAGTATCTAGAAACGAAAACAGAAGAGAATACTCTATGTTAGACCCAAATTTTGGATTGCAAAGTTCTCACCAGAATTTCGTCACAACGGCGTAGGGGTCAGGTATAGAAGAGTCCCAAAGACATGACCACAGTAGGGGGTCTGGTATGCTCCCAGAAAAATTCTAATAGTTTCCTGCGTATTGAGTCACTAAATTTCAGACACCATGTCTTGCGTATTGATTTCATTCTAAAGTTGTGTTTTTCCTCTGTATCAAGTTCCACACGGTTCATCCCCAAATGAAACACCTGTACGTTGGTTGACAGACAGTGCAGGGGGCTAAATCATAGCATTGGGTGTCCAAATCACAGCGTAGGGATTCCTATACTCAAATGACCAGTGAAAACCCTGGATTCCTTCGAAGAGGATTCCGAGGATTCCTCTCTCTTTCCCCGGCCCTGAAGCCGATGGTTCTCCCCTTGACTCTTATCAGGTTGCGTGCAACATGTACGAATTTCCCGGCAAAGCCCTGCATAGCTGCTACTCTTGGCGTTTTTCTGTGCGTCTTTCAGTCCTTGTAATTAGACTGAAAATTCCCACAGGTGGTTTGAGTGTTGACACGCGGAGAAACAGGGGCCAAGCTAGACTAAATAGGGCGATCCTGACACCAATTGACTAACAGTACAGTAATGCAACGTAGGGAACGTCACCAAATCCTGGAAGCCTGTAATGTTGAAATCAATGGTAAAACACGAAACAATAATTTGTTTCAATTTTTGTATAGCAGCTTATGCTTCGGTGGACATTCAGTAATTAAAACCTAATGAATACTTTTCATTGATCAGTAACAAAAAACTTGGTAAAACGCTGTCGCCAAGTTTTGAAGTTTTACGCAGTCTGTTTTTCTACTTCTCGAAAACTCAGCCAATCAAACATTCATTAAAACCCAATCAATGGTTAATTACTCAGTAGATAACCTTGGTAAAAAAATCAAGGTAAACGCTACAAAGTTTGGCAGTTTTACGCAGTTTGTTTGTTTTTCTACTTCTGTGGTGCTCAGTTCAAGGGCTTGAATGAGAAAACATCGACTGGGTGTGTTTCCCCCCAGGCCCCATGTTTCACTCACATCTGGTCCATTATCACGCTAAGTACCGCAGGCGACCTTCGGCGACTTCCGCCCCCGCAATAGCAGGAATAAAACAATCCCCACAAACCGGTGCAATTGTCTGGAGGGTAGAGTGTTCTCTAGCCTCGCTAACAGACACCGCCGTGGCGCAATAGTAGGAATAAAACAATCCCCACAAACCGGTGCAATTATCTGGACTGGAGGGTACGTAGGGCGTTCCCAGTCTGGCTAACAGACATCACAGTGGCGCAATAGCAGGAATAAAACAATCCCCACAAACCGGTGCAATTGTCTGGAGGGTAGAGCGTTCTCTAGCCTAGCGAGCAGACACCGCCGTGGCGCAATAACAGGAATAAAACAATCCCTACAAACCGGTGCAATTGTCTGGAGGGCAGAGTGTTCTCTAGCCTGGCAAACAGACACTGCCGTGGCGCAATAGCAGGAATAAGACAATCCCACAAACCGGTTCAATTATCTGGAGGGTAGAGTGTTCTCTAGCCTGGCTAACAGACACCGCCGTGGCGCAATAGCAGGAATAAAACAATCCCCACAAACCGGTGCGATTGTCTGGAAGGTAGAGTGCTCATTAGCCTGGCGAACAGGCCGTTATGGCTCCTCGATATATTGCATATAGAAAGTACAGATGGGATGTTATCCTTCAGTATACGGGAGCACGACCTAAAAGCTGCATTATGTAATATTTTGACGATAAAAAGTCAATTTTCTGGTATGTTTTTTTTGTAAAGTGAGTTGAAACGCTCCATGACAAATAACTGACATTCACTGATTCAGGAAGTTGAGGTGGCAAAATGGCACACCATACGAGTGTGTTTAAAAACAGTCGTCAGCCATGTTTGTTTACATTCTGCAATTTTATGATGGTACCACAAACCGAGTGCGCCTGGCCATGTCAGAAATGACATGGAAATTGGAAGATAATTGAAATTATATTAAGATTTTTTCGTTAAGATATTTCAATTTTGTTGCCCTTTTAAACGACACATATTTTGAATTGTTGTGCACGTACATGACATGACGTCACGGATTTCGTGCAGGCGCAGCAACGTTCTGCCGACGTGCTGGTCTGCATGGTCGTACCAAGAACAAAACCTCCGCTTTTATGGAGGTAACAAGACTGGAATCCAGTCTAGATCTCTCTATTATCCTGCTCCTGGTACTACCGGTCTTTCCTTGGAGCATCTGGTTTAGATTTTCTTCTCAAACTTTGATGATGAAGTTCTCCCTCTGCCCCATACATGCCGCACGAGTCTTGTTCTACACAATAGTTCACTTCGTGGGCGGAAAAAGGAATTCTCAAAGAAGTAGGAGGTGACAACGGTTCAAAACGCCCAAAATTTCCGGTGTTGTCTGGGGGCATGATTTCAACAAATTGGCTTAAGTTCTGCCAATTCAGCTGACAGCAGAGGATTCTCTGCTATAACTCAATTTGAACAGATTCTGTGTAAATTGAGTTTTTAGACCAATAGGGTCAATATAAATAGCATTATGTTTTTGATAGGCTTAGTCTAAAGTATATTCAGCAGGAGAGTCGGTGTTAGTTCAAAAATTACGATGTATAACGCCGCTTCGACCATTCAAAAGTGCCACAATTTCAAAGAGCAACGTACATGTACTCAAGAAATTTTACAAATGAAACTAGAACGATGTTCAAGATTCATGATGTTTTTTCTTAAAGAAAAATATGTGATGTTGCAATTTTAATTCCTTTAAACCTATGGTAGTAGGAAGACAAGTTGATTATTTTCATTTCACTTTAGGCCTAGGGAAAATGTTGTGTATCCTGTTTCAGTCCTGCAAAAATTAGGGTCGGTAGGTCTTCTTTTTTATCAACTCTATATCTAGTGATCCAACATATCATACAATACAGTTTAACAACGTAAAACTCGGTCAACTCGGTCAACTACCCTGGTCAACTCGATCAACTCGGTCAACTCGGTCAACTCGGTCAACTCGGTCCACTACTCTGGTCAACTCGGTCAACTCGGTCCACTACCCTGGTCAACTCGGTCAACTCGGTCAACTACCCTGGTCAACTCGATCAACTCGATCAACTCGGTCAACTCGGTCAACTCGGTCAAGCAACATTTTTTTTAATATCAATGTTGGAAAACTGATTGTACAACGTTTTATCACACAGGTATCTGATCAGGGAGCTAGAAAAGGTCAATCAGCTGGAAAAATATATGTCCCTTGCAGGGGTTCACCCAGAAAAAGGCTAGGGTCTGCAGATTTTTCTACGGTCGGTCGGGAAACAGGAAACACAGCACTTTTTTCCTAGGCCTAAATAGTCTATTAGTACGGCTGTGAAAGACATAGGCTACCCCGTCAAATTTGCCTAAAAGACACGTTCTGTGCGAAAACCACACAGAAATGTTCCCCTGATTGACATGGAAAAATAATCTGCAAAAATGGTTGACGTAGATTTAATGTTGCTGACCCTGTCGACCGGTCAAACCGTGACACATGGTGTTTTGTTTCTGTATCTGTGTCTGTATAACCGCCCTTAGGCGTAACACACCAGCCTCGCAGGCACACGGCGCAGCGGCAGCTGGCTACATTACACCGAACGACTTGTTACACCTAACCCTTAAACATTTAACTGTACATAATGCCCCTACTGTACTTGGTGACAGCGACTTCCATTTTGCTATATTTCTAGGCAAGAATAAGTTTTTTTAATAGCTCAATTCTTGGTTGATAACTCCGGTACATGAAGGCGTGACTATTTTTGTTCTCTTCTGGGCTTTGTGTTGGTAAGTCCATCGGTTTATTAGTCATTTTGCACATCATGCATTAGTCTGGACATTTTTCGTCTGTTTTCCAGTCACACCCAAAAACAGCAGTTGAAAAATCACTTAGCCCATGCAAGAAAACACTTATAATATAAGTTATATCTAAACAGCTGTCTTACGTTTGCTTGTTGTTACTGTGCGTCCTTTCTACCAACAATTTCCACTTGAAGACATACGGGGTAAAGATTGAACAGGGGTATCGCTTATACTGCTACACCAGGTGGTGCCATTTGTTGGCAGGGGGTACACTTTGACTGCTACACCGGGGGTACATATCATCTGCCCTAGGGTGTAGACAGACAAAAAACGCACAAACTCGCCTAGAAAGATTGAGTTGGAGAACTTAAGGGGGAGTTGTGGCAGGATATATAGCCTCTACCAGGCTTCAGAAGCAGCTAGAAATAGTGGATGTTGGCCAAAGACACAGGCAACATGCTAGGCTAGTTGGTCCGCTAAAGGGATACAGTTTTAATAGCTTTAATAGCGGACCAACTCTTCTGACATGTTTTAAGTCAATCTCTACTCTTTCCAGTGGCTTATCAAACTTCTGAAGCCTGGTAGAGGCTAACTGATGAATTCTATTTTGTTCCTTATTGTTGCTCGATTCAAAATGTTTTAATGCAACAAAAATGAAAAGCTTTGCTGGATGTTACTGTAGTGAAAATTGTTACTTATTCTCGCATCAACACAAGGTGATGCCATCCATAGAATTGAGTTCGTGGGGACGTCTTCAATATACTTCCTGTTATTGAATAGTCCATACCACAAGTCATGGCCGGTTACCCCCCTCCCCCCTCATACAAATAGTCTACATTACTCCGATATCACTGCAGATTGGGATCATACACGGGTCGGGACGTACCAAGGAGGATCAACAAGGAGGGGTGCCACGGTGGTGTGAAAATGATTTTGACCAATTCAATTTCAGGACTGCAAAACAGAAACAAAAAAAATTTGACGAAAAGTTCTTTACTGCCATTTTTAGCACATTTTCGTCATCATTTTATACTTGAAGCGTTTGAAATACTGTAGTCCAGAAACACTAAGTCAAGCTCGTCAAGCGTTTCTTTATGTTTTTGTACCACAAA